CGTGCGCAATCTGCGACTGAACTTGAAGTGCGTCCAATGTCTTCTCTTGCTCAGGTGAAGGCTGCTGGCGCTGCATGAAACTGACGGAACCGCGTTGGGGTTCGTACGGGGCGAAGGTAGGTTGTTGTTGCTGATTTCCTCGCGCGTAGGATGAACCGTCGAGGCTCATAGGTGTCACGTTGTTGTTGTTGCTGCTGTTTGACTGCGCAAGTGCCCCTTGCTGGTGTTGTTCGTAGAAGGACATGAAGGAGAAGAATTTCTCCATCAGACTTGGGTCGAAGCCCGCGGCTTGATTTGCGGGAGTTTCGGTAGACCCAGCTGTCGGTCTTGTTGCTGTGCCCTCCTTTGTCTGTAGGCCAGAGGCAGGAGGTGGAGTAGGATTAGTACCGGGAGAGCCGTTAGAGGAGCTTCTCTCCTTCTGCGTTGCCATGCCTTCTGATGTTGTGGGTGTTTTGATAGTAGTTGAGTTTGCCCTGATGGCTCTCATACCATGTTGGGCTGATAAAAGCCCTTAGGATCTTTGCATGACTAAACTCTGAGTAGGAACAATGTAATAGCGGAAGCGTTTAATGATAAGTCTGTGAACCACCTTGCGCTGGTATGTGAGGGCAAAGTAGATTGATTAAAACAAGAGGATACAAGGTTTTATAAGAGTACAAGGAATATGAAGAGATACAGTTAATAACTGTTTTACGGTTGCTGTTGCGGTTCGGTACAGTGACGACTCGGGCAATTGCTCAATAACGAGTCAGCTGTTTGTCCTCGCTGTCGCGCTGTACTTGTCAGGTCAAAGGTCGCTGACCTTTGACTTTCGCGTAACCTCCAGCGGTTTCTTCACTTCTCAACCTCCAAGTGTTGACTCGCCGATGCTTCACTGTATTTCGCTTCGTTTACGACTTAGTGCTTCGACACGACAGAGGCGTTTAAATCACTTGTTTCCAACACACTGGACCCCTACACCTCTTTTCATTTCCGGCGTACAAAACGCTTTGCGGTTTAGTTAGCATAATTTTCCGGATAAGCTAATCATCTACAGAAACACCTGTCGAGACTAAGGCAAGGATGATTTGACTAAGATGAGAATGATACAAGAAGGAAAACCCTAAGGGGTTGTACTCTATAGTGTATACCCCACTACAGCCTACCCAAATCTAAAACATCGATATATGTTTGACACACCCCCATAGGCAAAGTGGGGGAGAACAGAGGGTCACAAGACCAGTCACGAAATGCAAAGCAAGCTCAGGGTGGATCACAACGTCACCACGCAGTCTGGGCACAAACAAAAAGGCCACAAGGCCAAGTCACATGCAGAGATATATATGAAACAACAACAGCACAGTGATCTCTACCTACGAGAGCAAGCAGGAAGGTATATATATAAATCACAGTACAAGTAAAGCCTACAGCAAGTGGGGAAGTGTGAGCACAAGGCCTAACAAAGTACAGAAACGCTGATGATCACCAGACTGAAGTGCCTTGGTGAATATATCAGCAGTGTTGGCCCGAGTGGCCACGTAAGCAAGACGAAGCTGGCCACGCTGCTGTAACTCTCGAGCAAGGAAGTAACGCAGAGCGATGTGCTTCGTTCTGTGCTCCAGTCTGTGCTCCTGACACAAGGCAATGGCGGCCTTGTTGTCGGCGTACAGCACTTGAGGAAAACGAGGCCGCTCTCCCAAGTCGGTCAGCAGGTAGGTGAGCCAGCGTAGCTCCTGTGCAGCCATGGCTGTGGCGTAGATCTCAGCCTCACAACTGGAGCCAAGAACTGAAGACGAGCGTGTAGAACGCTAGGAAACTGAACCAGAGCCAAGGCTGAAGGTGTAACCCTGTGTCGACCGCTGCGTAGCCTGGTCGTCAACCCAAGAGGCGTTCGAGTGACCAATGAGGACAACGTCACCCCGTCCTCCAAGCACGAGCCCCATGCCCGATGTACTGCACAAGTAGCGTAGTACCCTCTTAGCAGCATCCATGTGCACCTTTCGGTGCCGACCAGGAGCCACGTAGCGAGCCAGAAGGCCAAGAGGGTACGCAAGGTCAGGACGAGTGCAGGTCATCAGGTACATGAGGCAGCCCACTAGCTCTGGGTAAGGACCACTCGGCTCTACGGACTCGTCTGAAGGTGGAGCTGAGAGCGAGTGACCTGTAGCCAGAGGAGTGGCCTGTGCTGAGGACCAGGTGAAGCCGAAGCGCTGAAGGACCTGCTGCACCATGTGTGACTGAGTCAGTGTGATGGTGCGGCGTGCTCTGTCCCGGGTGATCTGCAGGCCAAGGTAGCTGCGCAGCTCATCCAGGTCTGTGCACGTGTGTCTCTTCTGCAGCTCCGACTTCACCAGGGCGAGAGCCTCAGTGTCAGCAGTGGCAAAGACCAAGTCGTCGACGTACACGAGGATGTAGAATGGCGGCAGCGAGGTGTCGGTGCGCAGAAACAGCGACGGGTCAGCAGTCGATGGGGCAAACCCAAGAGCCGCAAGAGTCGTCCTCAGTGTGTCGTGCCACTCACAAGGCGCCTGGCGGAGACCGTAGACTGGCCGCCGGAGGCTCATCTGGGTACCAGGAGGGAACGACCCAGTGAAGCCAGGTGGACGGCGCAACCAGATCTCCTCGTGCAGGCTGCCCTGTAAGAAAGTTGTGCTGAAGTCAAGAGAGTGAAGCTCGTAGTCACGCTGAGCGGCAACATGCAGCAGCACCCGAAGAGTGGTCATCTTCGGGGTGGGGGAGAAGGTCTGGAAGAAGTCAACTCCCTCTCGCTGACTGAAACCTCGAGCAACGTAACGAGCCTTAAAGACAGGCGGAGAACCTGGCGGCCGCTTCACCCTGAAAATCCACATGCCACTGACGATGTTCGCCCCATGAGGGGGAACCTCGTCGACGTAGGTGCCTGTGGACTTCCAGGATGCCATCTCTGCGTCCATGGCTGTCTGCCATTGAGAGGAGTACTCACGCGCAATCGCCTCAGCGTAAGAGCGCGGGGTCGAGATGTCTGGTGCATCCGGGTCTCCCTCAGGGGCAAGCAGCATGGCCACGAGATGGCGCAACGGCTGCAAGACACTCAAGGTCCTCCTGCCTGTCCTCAAGGACGTCCGTGCCAAGAGCACACTCACCCCCGACGGACGGAGGACAGACAGACTCAGACTCAGCAACAAGACTAGCAGCGTAGTCCAGACGACAGGTAGCAGCAAAGTCAACAAGCTCAGCGACTAAGGCAGACGCAGCAGCAGACTCAAACGACGGGTCGGCGACAACATTGGCTAGCAGACGCGTGACAGTAGGGTGCTCAGCACGAAACTGGTCAGACGCAGTGTCAGCAACAACAGGTAGAGAGGACGCAGGGGGGGACGGCAGGTGAACACGCGGAGGCGGAGAGGAAGGACAATGGACTATAAGGGAAGGGCCGGGACAGCCGGCTGACGCTGACGAGGAACACGACGACTGGAACGACCAGAACGGTCAGGTGAGACAGGACGCGACGCAGGCTCACGACGCTCAGCAAGGCCCCCTGTCTGCTCAGCGTAAGGACAAGGAGCAGGCATAGGTGAGCCAGGCTGTAACGGAAGACCAGTAGACGACGGGAGGCTAAGAACCTGGCGAAGCACGGAGTCAGGCGGTGGCAGAGACGACGGAGACGGCGGAGCAAAGAACAGGCACGGCTGTGCAGTGCCACCAGCACCAGCAGCTCCAGCACCCTCAGCAGCTCCAGCACCTCCAGCAGCTCCAGCACCCTCAACAGCTCCAGCACCTCTAGCAGCTCCAGGACCCTCAGCAGCTCCAGTACCTCCAGCAGCTCCAGTACCCTCAGCAGCTCCAGCACCTCCAGCAGCTCCAGTACCCTCAGCAGCTCCAGCACCTCCAGCAGCTCTAGCACCCTCAGCAGCTCCAGCACCTCCAGCAGGTCCAGTACCCTCAGCACCAGCCCTACCTGGTGCTGCACCCCCAGAACCGGCTCCTCCAGTCCCAGAGTCTCCAACCGCAGTGCCACTGGCAGCAGCACCCTCAGACACACCACCGCCAGCCCCAGTACGAGCACCTCCGAGACCAGCGACACCAGCACCTCCAGCAGGCAAAGGACCAGCACCACTCCCAGCTCCAGTGACGCCAACAGAAGAACCCCCAGCAGTAGAGCCCTGAGCTGCAGAAGGTGAGAGGCACACGCGGACGAAGACGGCTACTCCAAGGAGACCGCGTAACAGCAGTCTCAGAACCCTCAGGCGACTCACCCCCAGACTCAGCACCCCCAGGCTCCGCACACGTAGGCGCAGCACTGTTAGAAGGAAATGCTGCCATGAGCAACAAAATGTCTACGCTGGGATTCGAACTCGTGACCTTCAAATCTGTCCTGAAAGTGTCTTAGGACAGATTCAGGACAGTTTCTGCTAAGGCGCTGGTTATGGTGCACACGAGTTTCGAACTGGAGACCTTTTGATTCAAGTGTCCCGAAAGTGTCTTGTCAGGACAGATTGGGGATAGTTTGGGGACAGATTGGGGACAGTTTGGCGAAATCGATCTCGGGTCGCGTTCGGTTTGAAACTCGGCAGCGAAGTGTCGAAGTCAACGGTATTCGCACGGGAGTTACAGTCGGTGGTCGACGGAATTCTTGTCGCGGAAATTCTCGTCTACGGAATTCCAGTCAATGGAATTCGCTCGGCAAAATTCAAGGCTCCAAATTTCGCGTCGACGAAATTCAACGTGCGACCCGGGTCGACACTTTCTTGTGTGCTTTATTTTGTATTGCGTCCTAGTATAAAACCAGAGAGCACAAACCAGAAATCAACCAAGTCATTATCACTGCTATGTTTGTGTGTAACTCTGGCTATAGTGGACCGTTTCCTGCAATCTTTGGTGCGTTGGAATCGTGCTTCTGAGCTCTATCAAGCTGCTATAGTAGTGGAATTCTACATGGTATCAGAGCTGCGGTATCTGCGTCGATCCAACTAGCGGCTTGATTCCGTCCTCCCATCACTTCTTTCCCACGTTGGTGTGGCCGACGCTCGTTTTGATTGCGCATGGAGTGGTTAACGAGCGCCGAGGGTCTGAATGCCCGTCAGGAGCTGGAGGTGTCCGTTCGTGAGCACCACCCTCACTTGCGTGATGAGGAAGTCGACCTCATTGTGGACGGTCGTCTACTACGCATGGTTCGGGAGCGCGCGGCGGAGCAAGCACCTGCGAGCGGCCAGCAAGGAGGAACTGGTGAAGGAGGAGCTGTGCACGAGGCTCCAATTGCTGTGGGCGTTGGTGGAGGAGCTCTTGCACCGACCATTGACTCGGGAATGATCGGGGCGAGCTACGGTCACTTCAAGTTTAGAGTTGAACACATCTCCGTGACGCCGCTGCTGGAGGGAAGGCACGACCTTACCGCGTGGGTCAGCGCCATCCGACCTCAGCTCCAGTGTGCTGATTTGTGGCAGTTTTGCAACGGGACAGCATCAAGCCCGGCCCCAAACAACCCCTTGCAACGAAGGGAGTACGCAAAGGGCCAAATGCCTGCATTCATGGTGCTGAACCGATGTGTTTCTCCACCCATCCGAATGTCCATCTCTGGTTTCTCCCAGCAAGAGAAAGCCGGGCAGCTAGCATGGGCATATATCTTGTCTACTTATCAAGTTCGTGATGCTCTCCACGCTTCCCTACTTCAGACCTAGTTAGCCCAACTCAGGAAGGGAGATGATGAGACGGCGGAATCCTACTGCAATAGGGCCCGCACCATCCGAGCGGAGCTGCTGACCATTGGACAGGAGGTCCACATGGCCACGTTTGCCGCCCACGTGCTGAAGGGCCTACCACCGGAGTACGGATTTCTTCGCCGCAAGCTCGAAATTTCCAGCCCTGACATGACGGTGGAACGCATGTGCAGCGAGGTGTTGATGGAGGAGCAGACTCTCTCCATCGAACAGAGTTACAAGCAGATCACCAGCAATGCATCTGCTTTCTCGGGCGCTGTCAACACCACCGTGGCTACAACGGGGGTCAACGGGAAGGAAGGAAAAGGGGGAAGGGAGCAGACAGACAAGAAGAAGGATGGCAAGCGGGAGAAGAAGCGAGCCCCCTTCAAGGGGCGCTGTTACAACTGCAATGAGGAGGGGCACATGGCTGCCAAGTGCCCCAATAAGAAGAAGATACAACGCCCGCGGCAGCCGCGAACGTAGCCGAAGGAGACGGGAAGGGCGTGGCGCTCACCGTCGCGTGTTCGGCTGCAAAGTTGCTGGCCGACGACAAGGACTTGTGGTTCCTTGACTCGGGATGCTCCCAACACATGACCGGCCGCAAGGAGTGGTTTACGGTGATCCGTGACCCATCTGCAACGAAATCAGTCAAAGGGTTTGATGGTTCTATGCAGGAAGTTGCCGGTGTTGGTGAGGTTTTGCTGGAGGGCACTAACGGCTTGCGTGTGACCCTACATGATGTCCTCTTTGTGCCAGGAATGAAGGCCAACTTGGTCTCCCCTGGGCAGCTCTTGGACAAGGGAGCAAAGCTGCAAACCGAGGAAGGTGTCACTCGCATCATCGCATCAGGAGGTCAAGTGGCTGCAATGGCACGATAACGCCATCGCCTTCACTGCCTTGACCTGAAACCGGGGCCAGCAAGGAACGGTGCAACGGCTGCAGCGGCATGCAACGGCACGGCGGCTGCAGCGGCATGCATCGATATGGCGGGTGGAGCGGCGAGCAACGGCACAGGGGCTGCATCGGCATGCAATGGCACGGCTGCAACGGCAAGCAACGGCACGGCGAAGGAGATTGCTGATGTGGCATCAAGCAAGCCGGAAGCTAAAGATGGAGCGGCCAGCCTCAAGACGTACACGGTGGGCTCCAAGGCAACGCCCAACCTGTGGCACGCTCGCCTTGGACACGTCCACTTCGATGCGGTCAAGCGGACAGCCACGAGCGGTGGCGTGTTCGGTCTGGACCTGGAGAAATGAGGTGAGGATATGCCGTGCACTTCCTGCCATGAAGCCAAACTCACTCGTGAATCATTTCCGCTGCACGACGAACGAGAGGAGCAGGTACTTGGGCTGGTCCATACTGACGTGTGCGGTCCATTTCAGACCCTAGCCATGGATGGAAGCAGGTACTACATTCTTTTTGTCGACCACGCCTCACGTTACACCTGGGGGAATACGTTGAAGCTGAAGAGCGACGCGCTTGCTGCCTTCAAGGAATGGCTTCCCGAAGCTGAACGCCAAACCGGGATGACGCTTAAGGTGTTGCGGTCGGACCAGGGAGGGGAGTTTCTGTCGAATGAGTTTCTGTTGTTGCTGAAGCAACGAGGAATTTTACGTCAACTCTCCTGCCCTTCGACCCCCCAGCAGAACGGTGTGGCTGAACGCCGCAACCGTACGGTAACCGAGGGCATGCGTGTGATGTTGGGGCACATGGGGGTGAAAGCACACTGGTGGCACTTCGCTTTCCAGCAGTTCTTGTGGGTGGTAAACCGTGTGCACCAATCCACCCTGCCCCATGGTGTGACCCCTCATTTGGTGGTGTTCAAAGTCAAACCCGATGTGTCCATGGTCCGTGTGTTTGGGTGCATGGTGCAGTACCTCATTCCTGAGCATGAACGTGAGAGGAAGCTTGCAAGCAAGACTCGTTGGGGCATTCATTTGGGCATGAGCATGGAAAGTAAGGGATGGCGTGTGGTGGATGTTGAGTCAAAGCGCATGGTCATCACCTGGGATGCACGTTTTTATGAGGACATGTCACTTGAACGGTGGCAGAAATGGCGTGCACGCGTGGGTGACCGGAATGACCAGCCCACACCACCCTTTGCTTCAGTCCCATCTCTCTTCCCTGAGCCCCACAACCCCGAGCAGAATCCGCCGCCACCACGTACCGTCATCGTGGTCCCGGTACCGTCTGTGCAAGGGGGTGAGAAACCCCTTGAACGCTCGGTGGGCCCTTTGGGCAGCAAGGCACCTACTGCACCTCCTCCTCTTGGTCCACCCTCCGTTGCTGATTCGGCGCCCGTAGGACCAGAGGATGGTCCTCTGGAGGTTGACACCAGCATGGCTGATCACGAGGAGGAAGAAGAAGTAGCAGTGGATGAGCAGTCACCAATGGCCCATGAGCATGAGCCTTCACCTGCAGTTCCCCCCTTCCAGCCCATTCCACCACCCCCACGTCACTCCAGCAGGCCTAACAAGGGGGTGCCACCCGTACGGTTTCAGCCATCAGCCATGACGGCCCTGGATGCGGATGATGAGGACAACCCGTACGACGTGGCATACCTTGCTGAGGACGAGTGCGACACGGACAGCGATGACGAAGTGGAGTACCCAGACGAGGATGAGGAGGAAGGCGCTTCGGGAGGTGTCATCCTCGACCTAGCAGCTGCGTTGACCGGACCTGAAGGCAAGGAATGGTGGGCTGCTATGAAGGAGGAGATGGAGAGCCTTGATGAGCAAGGCACTTGGACGTTGGCTGACCTACCTGAAGGTCGCAAAATCGCCGGCGTCAAGTGGCTGCTGAAGAAGAAGCTGCGGCCTGATGGCACTGTGGAGAAGTACAAGGCCAGGCTAGTGGCTAAGGGCTGTAGCCAGCGATTCGGCATCGACTACGATGACACTTACGCTCCTGTTGGCAGCTACACCACCGTCCGCGTGCTCCTCTCAATCGCCGCAGCTATGGACCTGGATTTGCTGCAGCTTGATGTGAAGAATGCATTTCTTCACGGCACCATCGATCACGAGATCTACATGCAGCAGCCGCCTTACTTCACCGACGGTAGCAGCAAGGTGTGCCTCCTGCAGAAGATCCTTTACGGGCTAAAGCAGAGTCCCCTTCTGTGGTACAAGGAGCTGGACAAGGTGCTCCTTGTGGAGGGGTACAAGAAGAGCCTTGTGGACCAGGCCCTATACTACAAGGATGGGGCAAGCGGGAAGCGCGTGTGGCTGCTAATCTACGTGGATGACCTGCTAGCGGCAAGTGAAGACCAGCAGCTTCTGCAAGACCTGAAGGGGCTGCTGGCCAAGGCATTTCAGCTCCGTGAGGTGGAGCCAGTGGAGCGCTACCTGGGGCTGCAGATTGAGCAAGATCGCCCCAACAGGACACTCTTCCTGCACCAGAATGTGTACGTGGCGAAGGTGCAGCAGCGGTTCTTCAAGGGGGCGCCACCAAAGAAGTAGCCGATCACTCCTCTCTCCTCTGCCAGCTTTGCCAAGCAGGATGCCGGGCAGTTTGCCAACCGTACCATGACCGAGTACTTGTCAATTCTCGGCATGGTGCAGTTTGCAGCCATCTCAACCCGTCCTGACCTCTCTTTTGCATGCAGTCGCCTTGCAGCAGGTGCACACCTCAGGACCGATGCGCATTGGCATGAGCTCTTCCGTGTTATAGTCTGCAGTCCACTTAGGGGTCGCGGATGCCCATGAAATCGCCTAAGCAGAATCTGACGTCTTCAGACCGCCTCTGTTCAAAACGCCGTCACGATCAGCTCCGAGAACATACGAGGCTGAAACTTGGACAGCGGTTAGCCTTAGATGTCTGCTTTCCAACGGTATATTACTTGCTATTATCAGAGGTGTGTGCACTACGCAGTGAACGAAAACGTAAGCTCGGCTGAAAAAAACGTGTATTCTCATTGATGCAAGGAAGAGGTGAGTACAACATTGCCTAGGGGACTCATAAGGGGTTGGGTCATCCTGGGAACTCAGAGAAGGTTGAGTCCTAGGGGAGAAAGGCTAGAGAAGAATGGGAAACGTCCTAGCTAGGTCAGCAAAGCCAACCACACTTGGATGTTCAGAGCTGTACTCAAGGCTACCAATAGTGAGTCAAGCCAACATGAGTCAGCTTGTCTTCCCACTTGCACCCTCTTGCAAGTTGCTTCCAGGAAGACCACACTTCTCAAAAGGAGGGTTATAGAGTCCCACTTGACCACATGTACTTCTTGTCTCATTCTCTGTCCCTGCACCATTGGCATGACAACAATGAAAGGGTGGCAAGGGAAATGCTGCCAACAGTGCACCATGACTACGGAACAGTGAATTTCGGCAGCTGTCACGCAATGCTCAGAAGTTGGATCGTTCTGAAACTTGGTGACCACTTGCACAGCGGGGCAAAGGACTGCCAGACCGAATTTCAGACCAATCAGATCTCGGTAGACGAGTCAGCAGCCGAAATGGTGAACTCGGGTGTTACCAAAAAGGAGTAACACACACTTCCGGGATGCCATAAGTCTTGAAACATAAAATGTTGTCATGCCTTGGTAACTGCTTGAAAAACTCTGAAACTTTGAGGGTTTGAAGAAAACGTGTTGAAAAACCTCCACACAAAATTCCAGAAGCTGAGAAGGCTTGTAGGCCGAATGGGAGTGCGATGACCGTGCCACTGTAATGTGTTGGCACAACAAACTCCCCCTCATCGTGCTCTCATTCATCCCTTAGCTGCTCCCTGAAGCTGCCTCCCTTAGTTGAAGGACATGCCACACAAGGTGGCGCAGGTCCAATGCTGATGCTCTGCAAGCCGCTTCGTCAAAAAATCTGCAGGTTGCTTGGTAGTGTTGATGTAGTGCAAGGAGACCGTGCCCTTCTTCACCTCCTTCCTCACCCAATGCCATTTGATATGCATGTGCTTGTTCAGCCCATGGAGCACAGCATTGCGAGCCATTGCAATTGCTCCTTGGCTGTCACAAAACACAGGTGTAGGACCCTCTTGCTCCTGCCCCAACTCCTCAAGCAACCTCCTCATCCAAACCACCTCCTTCACCCCATGAAACAACGCCATGTACTCGCTCTCCGTTGATGAGTGAGCTATCTCCCCTTGCTTCTTAGACTTCCAGCTCACTGGACTCCCTCCAACACAGCATACATAGCCACCGTGGGATGTTGCATCACTGATGTCACTTGCCCAGGTAGCATCGGTGAAGCACGAGAGGTACAAGTGTCCACGCCTTGCAGGTGCACCGGTCTTCGTGCTCACCTCCTCCACTCCCTTTTGCTTCAGCTGCCCATGCACTGAATATTGCAGCCCCACCCTTGAGGTTGCCATGCAGTACCTCACCAGCCTCTCTGCTGCATCAAGGTGCTCTTGAAGGGGCCTAGACACCACACGAGCCAGCTGCGAAACCGCGAATGAAATATCGGGGCGAGTGTTGACCGAAGCATACATCAAGCTCCCCACCATTGACTGGAACCGACGCTGCAACTCGGGCT